CCCATTTTTTTTTTTTTTTAGATCTTTTTCCGATTCGCTTTTCCCCCTTTCCTTTTACACGTATTACGCGCCTGTAATTTTCTACTCCTTGTATATGCATCAGCACAGAACAGTTCGTTTAATTAAATCGTATAAAACCTTTTTGTCCATGGACACGATTATTATTATATTCTTCCTTTTTTTTTTGGATTTCTTACGTTTAAAAATTTTAATTCACTCACGTCCAGCGTGTAAAATTTGCAGAAATTCTTTCTTTCTTTGTTCTTCGATTCGTTTGAATTAGATTTTTGTTTTTTCATTCGTTTTTGACTTCGAATTTGACACTTGTTTAGAAATCCCCTCGAATCGAATTCGACTGTCCCGTTTATGATAATTAATTCGTGGATTCGTTAAATTAAAAAGCTCGTTAAATATTCCGAATGGAAATTTTCATGATCAAACAATACAAGATCGAGAAGGTTAGCTCTTAACTCGATAAGCTAACATTAATGAATATCATTAGCGGTTGTTGAACGATTAAACGAACGTATAAATAAAGGATATGTTAAGAGGCGTTTCGAAACGAAAATTCCATTTTCGTGGCCGATGATGAAATAATACAACGTACGAACGTAATTAATCGTTACAATATTCGTATCTTAACTTATATTAATCTCGAAGCAATTAACGCAATTACCATTGTCTACATTTCCTCGAACAAGAAAGTTAAGCATCTTGATATGTGAATAAAGAATATACGAATAACAGATCCAATGATCAACGGATCAACGAATATCGGGGTAGATCACCAGATCGATACTCTACATACGTACGACATAGCAATCCTTCGGAATCGTAAATTCTTAAACGATTACAATTTCCTTATGATATATCGACTGTACATCTATTCTCATTAGAGTCATTACGCAATTATATTCGGCAGTACTTGGCGAAACGTTTTCAACATTTTCAACGTTTTCGCCGTTATATATATTTCACTTTACGGGTATTCCCACTTTACGTGTTCTAATTCTCACTTCACGAGTTCACGAGTTTTCAGTGTAATACAAGCCAGTCATTACTTTCCAGAAATCCGATGGTTTAAAGTACCAAATCTTGGCCTTCACCTGTACAACCTGCTCGTGTTCATCGTTCCCCGTAATCCTCGCATTATCACCATGTTGATCGACCACGATGTTCGACCGTTCTTCCATAAAATCGTTATCTGCCCCAGGATAGTTTCCCTCGGACGACGTATCACAATAGCACAGCGAGTCGTGGTTGCAATTGGTGTCGACGTGCTATGCGCAAGCCGCGTCTAGCTGGTGTCAGTGAACGAACTGATGATGCGCTTCGTAATGATGCTGATAATGGATCAGATCCTGTACAGAGCTTGGACTGTACTGTTGCGAGTCTACGATCACGCTTGTGTAACTGGTTGGCGTTGCTTCTTGATGATGATGATAGGAGTGCTTGGTAGGATTGTTGTTGGTGTTGTAATGGCTCAAGTGGGGTTGATACGAGGACTCGTAATGCTGGACGTTGTTCGAGTTACTGGTGCTCGCAGCGGGGTTGTGCGCCTCGTTGTTAAGGCTACAATTAGGGTACATGATCACGCCACCGACCTCGTTTAAATTAGACGGGGCCGAGTCGGGCATGTAGTGGTGGTAGTAAGGGTGGTAACCGTGTGGCAAAGAATATACACTCAGAGGGCTCGGCAAATGATTATCCATGGCGTCTGTGCTGCAACAGGAACTCGACGAGGTAGAGTAAGGTCTGTTCTGTTGGCTACTTTGAGGGCTGTGCTGTTGCTGTTGCGGCGGTGGTTGCTGTTGCTGCGGTTGCGGTTGCGGTTGCGGTTGAGCTTGCGGCAGGCTTGCTGGAGGCGTTGGATGATCTAGTAGATGAGGGGAGTGTTGATGCTTCTGTTGAGCGTTCTGGGGACTGTGCTGTTGCAGATTCGACGGGGAGTTGGCGTGGTGCAGAGGGTGCGGATGCTGCGCTTCTTGTTGCTGCGGTATCGTTGCTGCGAGAGAATCTTGATGTATGTCTGGAAGATACGTTTTCCCTTTTAATTGGGGAACTTTTTAAGAGAAAAAGAAAAGAAATTTGCAACTTTTCTCTCTAATTCTTTCAAATTTTTCAGGTTAAAAAGTATTCCTTCTTACCTCCATATTGGTAAAACCAGTCGGAGTTGTATTTAAGATTATCTTCGTGAGAGCTGCTGTTTACGTTCTGGGGTTGATAAGAGGGCGATAGATACTGATTGTGATTCGTCAGGTCAATATACTCCGGTCTAGGATACGTGCCACCGTTCGCGTAATCGTTATCGGGTGATTCTTTCGATCTACTTCGATACGCTGGTGAACTGGGGCTGTGATTGTCCAACTCGTTGACGGTTCCGCTGGTGATCGGTGTCGTCAAAGGGGTGCTGGGCGGATTGCTTGGATTCGAGCAATACGACTTTTGCTCGCAATTCAACAGCAAATCTGTGTTCTCAGGTTTCGTCAACACGTAGTTGACCGACACGATACAGTGTGGTCGAGAGCTTCGGGAATTGTGCACAATCGTGACGTACGATTGCATCCAGACCCATCCTCCGGATTTCGTGAGAAACCTGTAGTACTTGGTTATCACTTGCCCCTTGTACAATACTGCGAACACAAAGGAGAGGAATGAAACACGTTAAAATATGATATTTCAAAACAATCGTCGTTTTTTATCTATTATAAATTTTTTACATATTCAATTTCCAACCTAACGTTAATCTAATGATTTTTAGGTCTCGAATCTTTTCGGCGGGGTTATAAGAAGGAGAAGGAAAAGGAAAATTCTCCGTCGTGAAGTGACGGAAAGAAAATTTTCGTAGCGTAACGTCGATCGTAGAATCCGCAGGCGCGGACATTAGTGGCATTATGTCAGGCTCCCTTCGAGTTGCGCTCGTGAAACTGCGAGTCTGTTCAAACAGTGATAGCAGTAACAGCCTCCTCCTCTCTTCTACCACCCCTCGCCCCCACCATCTCTCTTCCTTCTCGTCCACCCTCACTCTCGTGTTCACGCATACACAAATACACACGTAGACACGGGCCAACCTCTCTTTTCTACACTGTTCATAGCGCCATACCGGCATTGTTCAATCAATAATGTATACTCCGTATGTATACTACGTGTGCATATACTTTAGACTTTAACGTGCTGGCATGCGGCAAAAGAAGGGTTGGAGGAGGAAGAGGAGAGAAAAAAGGGAAATGCTGTTGTATCCGCTGTTTCGCCTGAAAAGTCGATCCGCGGAGGAAAGGGAGTAAGGAAAGATCAAAGGATATTTCGTGAGCGAGGGCGTCGCCGAGTTAAGCAGCGTCAGCTGCTTTTGGCCTTGCGAGAGCCTCTTCTTCGAGCACTCTGATACCACGTCGACGCCTCTGAGACCGCTTTTCGACAGCGCGCGTCGTTGGGGGAAATAAAGCTTATTTCGATCGACGCAGCTACTATTCTCTTCTCTCTCTCTCTTTTTTTTTTTTACGATACATCTTGTTACTTCGAAAGATTACTTCGCGATACGAAAATTTTTCGCAACGGAGATCTATCGATTTAATCTTAATACATCGGAATTATACGAGTTTTGAGAATGATTTCGAGTTTAAAAGAAACAATATCGAATTTGCTTCTTAAATGTAATACAATTTTAACCAGATATTATATACGATCGAAGCAAAGAACTAAAGTTAAGAAGTGGTGGAATTTCGAAGAGTAAAAATTCGCAATACTTACGCGTCCCATGCGCGTGTCTCAGCTGCATCATGTCGCATCCGTGCACATAATGGTACAGCGTCTTCTCGATGAGGTCCGGTGGATCG